AATCAAAAAAACGAATTTTATATTGATGTCACACTCAATTATATAGTGTGTCCCTCGCCCGATAACATTCTTTCATTAAATATATATACATAAGTATATGTTGTTAACGTGTTCTCCGAGCTATTTAGTTTGTAGTGAGTCACTTTTATCACGAGAACACGACTGGTTTAATAAAAACAATTAATATTATAACCAACTGTACCAGTGCTTGTCTTAACGTGCTTTTGGTTAACTGTGCTAATTATATTCATTTTGTGCTTCCATTACCTTCCATCATGGTTTCGCGGTTTTTGGTACTGTTCGCACGTACTCCTTTCTCCTGCTTCAATTTGTACCATTCCTTGGCACGATCTCGGTATTCGTTCAATACCACGAGATCGCCTACGAAATAAATCTGGTTACGTTCAACCTTCACCTTCTGGTTTACTTGGCACGTGTTTTTCGGTAGCGGTGTTCATAGTCAATCTCGATTCGACGCCACGCTACAATTTTAATTGTGGAATTTTTACTGTCAGTTTAGACATCCTCAGTGCTACTTCAAACAGAAGTCAGTTTTTCAGTTGATTCACAAGTGTTATATCAGTTTACTCCAAAGGACTTTGGTTGAGGCAGTTAGTTTTCGTAGATTTTAATGTCTTTATTCTTTCTTGTGTCCATGTTGGTTATCTTTTTCTGTTAACATCTGGTCTTGTGGCTGACTGAGCTCTTTGCGTGGATCGATAGAGTAAATTGCCAACAGGATTTGAAAGACCACTAATCACAAATAATGCCCTCCGGACAAACTTACATAGCACATGTAAGTAAATGAAAAGCTGAATACTGTTTGAAGCGGTCCTGAAGATGTCAGAATGGCAAAATATCTACAGTTGAATAATCGACCTAAGAGAACACAACAGTGGTGTGATTCCGTTGGTTGGTTGAAGTAAAACATTAACACCGTTGGATGCCGGTTCAGTGGTCTAGAGGTCGAGCGTTCACTCGAGACCAAAGGTTCTGGGTTCGAATCACACGAGCGGGATTTCGGATGCACACTACTGAGGAGTCCCTTTCTGGGGCGAAACGGCAACCTGGCGCTTCCAGGTTTTCCAAGGTGGCCTAGCCATAATCGACCCACCAATCCAACTATTAAAAGTATTATAGATAAAAAATGTGTGGAAGTTTGAAGCACACTAAATGGGGTGAGTCCAAATAATCTCACCATCTTAGTCGTTCTTGCTTTACAAAAGTTTACCAACACAACTGCAATAGTGTTAAAAACCATTGTTAGTTTGTGGTTTTGCTGTTTCTGTGATCTAGTTTGTTTCTATGAACATCTATTTTGAAGAGCTCCTTCTACTTGTTTTGTTTTTTGAGCACATACTCTCTACTTTTGATCTCAAATATTGTCCGAATGAATGTTTCTTACTAAGCTATCTAGACAAAGTCGATTCATTTGGAGAAATCATTCACAGAAACATACCTATATATTCAGAAATAGGTCTAAATTACATGAGAAAATAACTTACGACTGACCTTTTACTGAGTAGTGGCCAATGTTAGAATTCTCTGGTCCCTTAATACATATCAAATACTATCGATCAAAGTAGAATGTGACCGCTAATCTGAGCGACTTGACAAGATGTGTACCATGTTGAAATGGTGGATAGTTAGATATAGTCAACAGGAAAACCCGGGGCTAGTTTCCATGCTATTTGGAATTCAGTAGCAAAAGATATCTGTAATTCTTACGGAATTGGTGTTCTCTGTGTGGTTCAAACGCTCATAAACCAGTTACAAATTGTGAGATATTATCACAGAGCTATCGAATAAATTCTGAATAAACCTAACAGTAACCTCCCTAGTGAGTTCTTGAATAGAAGTAGTCACTTCTCTTTTGATAAAAATCACACATTAAAAATTTTTAAATGAAATTTAAAAATTGAGTTTGATTTGGATCATCAAAGCTATTAATAAATACTCGGGTTCTTAAGCTGTTTGTGGATAATAAGTCAACCTATGTTAAAGTCGGGTTCATAAATTTACTGAAAATTCACAATAACTGACATTTATTCAAAGAAACAAAAGTGAAAAGACAAAAATAATTAATTCAAATACTTTCAAACCAAAAAGACATTGATCACTGTTTTCGTGAAATCTCACATTGTAAAACGGATTATGCTGTAACCAACTTGAAGTCTACTAATTTTAAGTGTTTAGCATTAAATAATTCAAGAAAAATATCTTGATCTCTATTTCTCCAGCTGATCTCGCTGGGATGGTACGATCCCGAGGAACAAATGTTCCAGCCAATGTAGCTCAACTGTCATCAAAAAAAGCAAGTTCGACCACCATTTTCAGGTGGTACCTGTGGTAGGGAAAACGACCGATTAATAGGAGACACTTCATTACTAAAGGACCATTTCCTTTAGTTATAGTCATCAAAAAACACTAAACCTCAAGACTCATAAACTTTTGGTAATTCAAATGCATCATGATCACTGTAATGTATTTATACATCAATGAAATGAAATCCAAAAACTAAACATTTTCACTTGATCTGGTCAAGAGTAACTTCTGTTTTTCGAATTGTCCATGAAATACCACTAAGTCAAACCAGATCTGTTCAAAAGAATTACATTTTACGCCATTAGAATATAAACATTCATAAGAAATCCTGACGTTAATGCGTTTCACCAACAAACAAAATGTCCATTGGACTAACCCAATTTATAATTATCAGTATGGGGTTGTGGAGATTGAGTTTCAGTTGACATCACGAACCAATCAGTGTTAGACCACCATTGAGAACCTGCTAGCGCTGGGCGACTATTTTGTTCAATTATAGGACTCTTCAGCAGTGCACATCCATGAACCCGAACGTGGGATTCGAGCCCAGGACATTTCGTCTCACGCGTGAACGCCTAAATTCTAGACCACTGAGCCAGCAACCAACAGTGTTAATGTCTAACTTCAACCAACCCACAATTTTACGCGACCATCTTCCATTGTCTTTAGTGGGTAACTCCCATAACCAGCACGGCCGAACGCCACTGACCACGACTTTTCACTGGAAATCGCGTAGGTTCGTGGATGCGCACTGCTGAGGACCGACCATGTACACAGTAAATTTATTTTGAACTCGTAAAGGTTCTCATGTTAAAATGACTGCAAACGAAAATGTATGACAAAAAAAAAGAAACACAAGACAATTATATGATTGACATGTGATGCAATAAGAGGAAGTCTAACCTCATTGTTCTGAGTAATTTTCATTCATGACCAATCATTATCATAAGTCTAATAACTAGTTTTTAACCTGCTTTACATACATCAGGTACTGTTTCATTATTATGTTCTGGATAGACACTGTAACGACTGAATACAACTAGAAGAAATCTGTGGAAATTCGAAATCAGGATATTTTATCTATAGAGCCACAAATTTATTTTTTGCTCAAGTCAGTCAATAATCTAAATAACTTATGAGAATTGGAAATTGTGCTGACAATCACTAGCCAACACAGACAGTATAAAAGTTTCAATCAATAGAAAACAAAACTTTAATAAGTTGGTGATACTTATTTCTCACCATCGCCACCGCATCGAAAACAAACTGAACAAAACTAAGTGTTAACCCATAAACTATGTTACTACTTCAAGCACATTAATGATAGATCTGAATGTACTCCACATTTATAGTGGACGAGAATACAACTGTGGACAATAGAATGTATTTTAATACAATATTACAGAATATATTACTAAAATCTGAGAACCATACAGTAAATACATCATCCACAAAATGTCAACCAATCGTTTTAGACTTAATTGTTTCTTCCTTAACATGCCAATCATTCTGTACTTCGATCTTCTTAATCATCTGCCACCAAGAATTTCACTTCCGACTGGTGATACATACAACTGTCGACATCAGTAGCACACACTACGTAATCATTGAGCATCAGGTGACTACAAGCTTCATTTATTGAGTTAGGCAAAACATAGATTTCATATGTTTGACCAAATTCTAACAAAATGGAGCAATGAAATATAAGTGCATGTACTTCGCATTGGATTTTAGTGTTGTTTCGTATTAATCGACTATCCAAACTGACATAAATAGTGCTGGATTCCAACCCATAACCCAATGGCAGTAAGGTGTGGTTGGTCAATGAGCGGAGGCAGACATGCAGCCATAGGAATATAAGTGATTATTTTGTATCTGACTGTGATACATACCGTGGATTTCACTGTTTTGCCGCTTGTACTTGTGTTAATAAACTAGTGTCTGGGCCATTTTCTCCTCAGTCCTTGGTGGAACATTGTGTCTGTGCCTACTGTGTGGTCTAGTATTGTGATCTATCTAGTGATCCTACCGTGTAATGTTATCAGTTAAAAAGTGCGTGAGTGCAAAAAGCAGTTCTTCGACATTATCTTGTAGCGAAGGTCTGTCCAATTCCGAGTAGTTTGGTTGGCTTTTCCGGTTACCAATTTTGTAGTGCGATTTTTTACGAGATGGGATTGCAAACCCTATTTCCAATACCCCTCCTTTATATGGGGTTCGAACAAACAGTAGCTTCGGACAAAAACCAATAAGCTGCCAGCTGAGGAGCAAATTAGAAAACACTGAGTGGATGGAACAAACTTTGCGGAAACCATCAAGGGACAAGCCCCAGCATAAAGTCCCCTGGGCAAAAGAAGAGGTAAACCAAAAATAGCGTCGGAAGTCGAGGGCAGACATTAAGACCACGAATGTCACTTGGTAACAATTACAAACAAGAGCCTGGGAAGGAGTTACTCAGAGATCCCTGTTCAGTAACTTATGCCTAAAGCAGAGTGGCAGGCTCAACTAAGTTGTCGTAAAAAATTAAGCCAATGTTCTCCCCTGACTAAGCAAAAGCCAAGTATCTAAAAGGAATGAGCTAAAATAAACATTACGTATAAAAATCCTAGAAAGTTTAATTTGCCAAATATGAAGATAACAAGTTGACTTAGGATAAAATTCATATTACTGAACGAATTCCAATCCAAATAATGCATATATTTAAATATAGAAATTTTTTTAAAAAAATACAAAAAGCAAACCATTCAACAATATTAAATTCAACAACTGATTAAAACAAACGAAACCATATCAACCTTTAACAACATAAAGGAAAGCACTGGATAGCAAATATAAATTTTGTTTCCTACATTAGTAATAAGAATAACCAAAATAAGCGGGAAGTGACATTTCATTGAACTAGAACTTGGTTGGATTTACTTTTAGTAAAATGTTTTAAATGAACAAAAAATAAATTAAACAAAATAACAATTATGACAGCAGTCAGTGGAACATAAAAAAACGATAATATTCCTATGTGGAAAACACGTTGTTGAAATAAAAAGAAGGCGATAGATTAGTACTAATCATAAGAATAGTAGGAGTATGAGGAGAGAGAAAAAGTTATGATCACAGCACTTTACAAGAGTTTCCATACCAGGCATGTTACATAATAATTTGTGGTTCAACAACTGATTGGGCAATGCTTTTGTGTGGTAATACACGTGCACCATTTACAAATAATTCATCAGATACAATGACATCTTCACCTAAGACGGTGATATTTTCCATTCTTACCTAAAAGTAATAATAAATCAGAATACATTGATGGTGAGAATATGAATTGATATTAATCAAATAACATTTCATGAACTCATTTATCCGTTACAGATTCATGCAATGGCTTGAAGCCACATTTTAGGTGTAAGGGCTGGTAGTACTGTGCGGTCGCTCAGACTAAAGTATGTAAAAAGAGGTTTGAACCTATGATTTTGTAGCTGAAATTCGGACGCCTTAACTATTGAACCATCGCTTTATTGACCAAAGAATGTCTGAGATAAAAGAATGCTACAATTCCAGTCCTATATTAATTACAGACAGTATACTACATATGTTGAGTATTTTAAAGTGAAGCTGATCCTGGAAAGTGGTGCTGAAAAAACCAAATTCCAAACTAGTTTCATTAACGATGGAACAAACGGGTGGTTAACTGTTTTAAGTATAAAGTTTCGCATTAATTGCTAGTTATTAGCATGACAGAATCCTAATGATAGGATGTTTAATAAAGGCCCAAATCTGAATATGATGATGAGTCTATTCGCATTCAATCAGCAGTAGTAGATGGATCTAGAAGACACTAGGCATTTCGCACGGAAATTCTATTTGATATCTTGTATTTTCATTATTTATTGTACAAAACATTGTTGTACGGATTGGCTAGAATATATTTTGCTTTCAAATCATCCTAGTTTGTATTTGTCTCAATTTAAATGAAGCGCAATCGTCAGTCATCATTTATTTATTTAATTCACATGAAATCTGGCACAACTGAGCACCAAGAATATAGTATACACCAAACGAAAATTTGTGATGCTGAATGGGAGCCCGAGTTGAAATGCATGTTCCACACACCTAAAGGTCAATCCACAAACTAGTGAGGCAACATCAAGAAGTCCTTTTTCGTGATAGCTGACGACCAAAAACAGGTTAACATGCCATTCGTTCCCTTAGGATCCTGGAGATTATATATACCGATGGTTTGGAATCAAGGTTTTTCAATTCTTCCAGGTGAAACCTCTGTATCTTCCAATCTGGTTTAAGTGCTGAACATTCGTTTTTTGTTCTATCATTTTTGTAAAACAAACCGGCTGCTTGTAGAACATAAGACCACATAAGACCATAAATGCATGGCCGCATAAGAGCATTTCGAAAGAGAGACAACAGGCTTCCTCAACTTTCAGCCGAACTAGGGTATTTGAGGGAAAAGTGTACTAAGACAAAGAAGGACGTAATGTTAACAACGAAAAATGATTTTTTACATTGTTATGACAACTGAGTTTTAAACTTTCCTATAAACCTCAATTAGAAATATCCAGTGGTCTCTTGGTTAACAGACAACGACAAACGAAAAATAACATATTTCTAAGGCTTTAATTTGGTTATATATAATGTGAAATCTATCAAAGATATACTCGTAAACAATTTATTACACGTTTAAAACCATGAAGTATTATAACTTAGAATAAATGTGTGTTGTGGATGAGGAGGAATAGACCAATAATTATCATGTTAAGTCCGATGGTGTCCTTGGACTTTAAATGGACATTTCCTATTGGTCGATATCTGTTCACTTGTTGAATATTGTACAAAATGTTGTTTTCTATTTTATGGTACGATGTGGTATGCTTGATTGGTATATAAACAAAGTATGTTTGAAATATAATGATTCATATCTCCGAGGCTGTGACTTGTGTTCTGGACTCAACTAACTGGGCTAGACAGGGAAGTGGGACCAATCGAGACTCTAGGCCGTCCGTACGTGTTTACGTGTCACTGTAATCGATCGATAAGTACACTGCTCTCTAATTTTTCCAGTCAAGGACACAAGAATTAGCACAGGGTAGAAATCGACCGCAACTTAAAGCCGTAACAATGTGTATATATGCCATCAGTGATATTCTCAAAGGAATACAAAGTAAAATCAACAGACTTACCCACTGCCCAACAGTACATCGCCAACCAATAATACAAGTTTCTAGCCAAGAATGAGAACGAATAATACTCCCTTGAAGTAAGGTGGAATTACGAATTCTTACTCCATCTTCAACTATACACTCTGGCCCAATAACAACACTGGGTCCAAGAACACAAGTAGGTGAAACTGAAGCAGTTGGATGCTAGAAAAATAATGAAAGTGAAAAAATTAAGGCTGCAGGAAAAACCACAAAACATTATCAACAACGTAAGGCCTAGTACAAGTATGTATCATAGTTTGCTACACTCTACGCTATAAGGAACTGAGAGAAGAAACAAGAATTTTGATCTCGATTCATTTTTTAAAAACGAGACTAATTTTCGAATGCTACTTATAAAGAAATAAATGGTTAAATAATTGGCCTAATACAAAATAGATAGAATTTAACTAACAGTATAATTCAGGATGTATGTTTCATCCTATTTCGGACTTGTCAGCTGAATATGCCTTCATTCTAGAGTTAGTGTTCATTTCGGGATTCACATCCAGTTACTTTCGCTTCAAACGCCAACATGTTATTCACTTAGCTACTGGGTCCAAAATAGCAACTCATTTGGGAAACGGGCATCAGTCTTGGTTTAACTAAGGCTGATCAAAGTTCGGTCAGGACATTAACAACGGAATAATCCGAATCGTTACAAATTAAATTCAAAACCATTTCACGAGTGAGTGGCTATTTGAATCCAGTAGCTAAGTGAATAACGCGTTGGCATTTGAAGTGAAAGGAATTGGATTTGGACTCTGGAGTTATTTAGAGATTCTAAATGTCAGTTATTAGAAAACTCTTTTTTGAATGATTCCGGTCGAACTACTAAGCTGCCACTGTATCTTTAGTCAATAAACGTAAAGAAATAGAAATTCAGAAACGTGGACTGTTATAGGCCGGGAGGTCGACGCTTCAGTCTGTAGAATGGTCATGGTTGCACACTGAGTTCTATACTAAATGCGAAACACATGTCTAGTGCTCTATATTTTTCGATGACTTTCTAAATGAAGTTAGTTCATCATGTAAACCACATTTGGCTAGAAACACTGCACAAACCTTTCATGCCACAGTAAAAATTTCATCCTAAGAACATAATAAAAAGCATATAACTTACGATTAAAACATTCCCATGAATATTAGATCCAGTTGCTAGTTCTTTCGAATGATCTGATTGTTTTAAGTAATTTAGATACAAACTTGTACCTTTGAGAAAATCATTCGGTTGTCCAACATCCATCCAGAACCCTATAAATAAATAATAAGTCAAAGACGGAAAATATTTTGACATATCCTTCGTTAAAATAAACAATATTTATAGTATAATACAACCATATGGGAAAAAACACATGAATAACCATTATTCTAAATGTAACATTGATTGGTTAATTGAATAAACTGACTGAGCAGCGATTGATAACCAATGGCCATGTTTGTCTGGTACTCAGTACCGATCGAATTCTTCGGACAGTGACTGATTTCCTGTAAGACTAACATATTTACCGATGATTAATCACACAGTAGTGACCAACGTGTCTACAATTAATCTTACTCGATAGAATTCGATCAGTACTGAGTACCAGACAAACATGGCCATTGGTTATCAATCGCTGCTCAATGAGTTTATTCAATTAACCAATCAATGTTACATTAAGATTAATGGTTATTCAGGATGACATTAAAGCCACGGCAATTAAGATTCCCTACCACCCATTTCTAAAAAATTGTATGGTGTATTGGGATAAATTTTTGTTTTCCGATCAAGTGATTTAATGTCAACCTTTAATTGAAGTCGTTAGTTATCTTGCCACGAATACTGATATGTATCACATTAAAAGAAAGTTTAGTGAAAAAGGAACTGAAAATCGGTTTGACTATTTGATAATAGTGATTACTGAATTCGGTCGGTTGTCTAATGCTAAATACCCAATTAATAAACAAATTATTACCGAAGTGTGTACATAAGTTTTTTAGTAGCACATGGTCTGTTAATCGGAGAAACAAATACGAATACGAATTAGACGATGAAAATTGTCTATCGTACTTTTTCTTCACGACTGGTGATCAAAAGATTTTTGCAGATCGTTTCGCTGATGTTATTGGTTTGGACGGGACATACAAGACGAATAACGAGAACATCTATTTATATCAGGTCGTAGCCCTTGATATGAATTTTAAGGCAATACCCGTTTGTATTGCATTTATAAGTCGCGAAACATCGACTTTGATTTCTCGATTCCTGTCATTCTTCCAACGGTCAACCAACAGACGACAGGTGGTATGCATTGTGACAGACGATTCACCTGCAATAGCTGCTACCATGCAAGTGTATCCCAATGCTCATCATATCTTGTGTCGCGTCCACCTTGTTCGCAATGTTATAAAGAGGGTAAGTGTTTCGTTCATTAGCATTAACCCAATAACCTTAATTGTAGAGGGTACGATCAGAAGTGATACAACTATTTTTTTCGCCTGATGTTTACTCAAACGGTTGAAAGGTAAATCAAAAGCAACAGAACATTATTTTGTAGTTTTAACAGTGTATTATCCTTGATCGAAATATCGGACGGAACGTTTGCCCGATATGTCAGAGACCTTCTCTTACCGAGAAAACACAAACGGTCTACAGCTTTTCGACCATTAGCAACGCTACTTCAACTCAATAATACGAACTTTGTTGAGACAAGTCATCGAATTTTGAAAATGCACCAACTGAGTCGAAAAACACCTGTGCTGAGATCTATTTTTAGTGTGCTACTTCGCATTGGATATTGGATATAAGCAAGATTACAGAAATATACATCAGATTGCCGGATAAAAGCCAACATCGGTCAAGAGCCAGCAATGCGTGGACTTCAAGAACGACTGACACCAACTGCATGTCAATTACTGAAGCGACACCTGCGCACTCCTATAACGGAGTTTGTAATGTCTGTTGACTTATTTACGGCTGTGGACGCAACGGGTACTTACAATGTACACCGCGATTCCATGCGCTGCTCCTGTTCATTTTCCATTGAAAACGGTTTGCCATGTCGGCACATATTGGCTTACTCTACACACAGTATTACTGATGTGAACGTACAGTCAATTTGTGATAGATGGTTACACTCTGATACTTATCTGACTCATATTGCAGTTGAGAATTATTTCCCAATGCAATTGAGCCAGCCGAGCATGAAGAATACAGTGATTGCGTTAGTCAGGCGACTGTCTGAGAAACAATGCAGTTCACTTTATAGACAACTTTATCAAGGACTTCACGGTAGACTACCACCAACGCCGTTGAACTTACAGGCCGAACCGCAGTTGTACACTGGAACAAGAACCTCGACTCACGTTGCAACGCCGTTGATGCACCGAGGAAACGTTGATTTGGATGAAACGTTAAGTAACGACGAGGATGAAGTAGTTTCTATAAACTCCGAAGAGCTAACTGAACGGGACATCCAAAATGAAGAAGAAGAAGAGAACCGTTTGTGTGACATCTGTAATCTTGCACAGCCGCCGTGTGAAACTGGTGATGCAGTGGGTTGAGTTTTCTATCCTTGTGAAGCAATGTTTCATAGATTTTGCGCTTATGACCCATCACCGAACGTACGAGCGGTGCACTGTCCCATGTGTGGCGCCATTACCAACTAATAGTTTGGACGTCCCAACGCGAGAACGATTAAAGACCCTCTTCAGGGCCACCCACAAATTGATTTAAATTCATTTTTCCCAATATCGTTTTTGTCTATGGCAAAGGTCAAGTGATTAAGCACTTTTTAATGTCGAATGCATTTAGATATACCTTAGATATTAATAATCGAAAAGCGATTATCAATCATGTATTCGTAAACTTGTTTCTAATGTATATTAGATATAAAGGTTAAGAAAACTTAGACAACATTTTTTCGTCCAATGAACACAAATCTAATAATTCTAGATTGAAAATAATGTGATTACCGTTCATGTTTTAGTAACACTGTTGTAATCTATCTAATAATAGTACATTGTAGTACATTTTCATAGGAATATTGCAATATAGTGAATATTTTTATTTTGTCGTTATGTCAATAAATTTATGATAACATTTATTAGTGAACATAATAAGACAATTACAATGGGAAATGGGAGAAGTTGAGAAAATTATCTTATTTATAAATAAAATAATGACATTATAAAACATGTTGAAACCATCATCATTGAAATGAAAAGGTCATATAGTAAGCGTAAAAAGAAATAAGAATATCATCCGTTTAATGAATACAAAAAGCAAGAATTTCATATTCTTGTTTTATATTAAAAGTACCTGAAACCAGAACTATGCGTACGTAAGAAGTACGTCTGATCGTCAACTTGGCCTTCATTGTTATTCATAACTACTGATTTTATCACCGTGTTCATTTGCACACCTATACAACTATTAATTACTGGTACAATCACATTGTACCAGTTAAAAATTATCTTAAAAAAGTCAAAAATGAACAATATTTAGCGAACAATCCTTTTCAATAACTTCATCATCACACTATGCAGTTATAAGTCTATAATTTTAATATTTTATAAAGGCCAAAAATAAGGCATGGCATTAATTAATTTGACAATGTAATGTGTTAACAATGGTGAACGTTTGCATCTGTTACGATATATATATATATATATATATATATACTTACAAATTGTAATATTTGCAAATTAGAAAGGTCATTCAATAAAGGTCTGGATGATTTGCAGTAAAGTGTTCAGTCACGATAAATGGAAGAGCATTATAGGAAATTTGAAAATGCAAAAGCTTGTATGTCAATAAAATGCATAGTATGAGAATTGAATCTTGTCAATTGACATAATAATAATAATAATAATAATAATAATAATAATAATAATAATAATAATAATAATAAGGAAAATAAATAAGAATAACATTTTAAATGTTCATTGATACAGTTGACCTTATTCATATTTATACGTTTAATGTCGATAGATATTTGTTGAGTCAGTCAGACGACGTACGGTTGTTCATTTACACTTCATGAAACTGATATTTCAAATGCTTGTCAAAAATGGTTACATTCGTAATGTCTAGATAATTCAGGTTTCATATTACGGCGGTTAACAATATTCACACATGACTGATTAAACACACTAGTTTTTATTACGACCAAAAAATTAATTTTAAAATACAGAACTACAAATAATTTACAAGTGAAAACAATAAACCGCTTCAATGGACTTTTAAAATTAACCACATTGAAATCTAACGTTTTCTAATTCTCATTAAGAATGACCATTTACAAAATAAACGTTCACTAAATATGAAGTGCCTTTTTCGGAAAATTTATTACTACTTTCATATACTGTGAAAGTCGGTTCATTAAATGATGGTCTTTGGTTGTTTCACCTGAATTGTACATATTTTGCAACCAGTAAGTTATCATGATGAATTATTGATATGTTGATTTGTTTCTCTGATTAGCAGACCATGTGCTACTAACAAACTTATGTACACACTTCGGTAATAATTTGTTTATTAATTGGGTATTCAGCATTAGACAACCGACCGAATTCAGTAATCACTATTATCAAATATTCAAATCGATTTTCAGTTCCTTTTTCACTAAACTTTCTTTTAGTGTGATACATGTATCAGTATTCGTGGCAAGATAACTAACGACTTCAATTAAAGGTTGACATTAAATCACTTGATCGGAAAACAAAAATTTATCCCAATACACATTCACTAACAGTAGGATTGCACTTAAGTTGGTGTTTTTTTTCTTAAAATGACTAAATTTCTTACAAGACTTACATTACACAAAAAGAATTACTCATTATCATTAAAATTTCAAATGTAATAGTCTAAATTCTAACATCCAATCACAGCACTTGATGCTATTTCGATTTCAACTAATCAGATTACAAAATGAACAGTTTACGACCAATCACAAAATTATTAAAGGTGACAAAATGTTTGTTCATTATCACTTAAGTACACACTCGCAAAACAAGTACACCAATCACCGATCGCTAAATCTTTCTTTCACACCATATAATTTTTTAGAAACGGGTGGTAGGGAATCTTAATTGCCGTGGCCTTAATGCCAACCCAACCTGTGAAGCTAGATGATATGGTTTTGACATCCACAAGAAGTATACTTTGCTCAAAGATTGAATGTAAGGATTGTTGACAGATACCAGCTGGCATGAAATCTAGGTTGAAGATGAGTACACAACGACCTAGGAACGCTAATTTTAGTCATTAGGTTAATATAAACCAAAAGTTGAATAGAAAACAGTATGAAGGAACATCAACTTTATGAAACAAACTAAATTACTCTTTATAAATATGTACTCAACCCATCTTTGATCTGTTTACTGATACAAGCCTAGCTTGTCGTGAACAAATAAAGATGTGTCAAATAACTGTGTCATTGTAACCCTATTATCTTATAATGACTAATAATCATTAATTCATAGTCATGTTCAATCTCTATGATCCATTCACTTCCCTTTCCCAGTCTTATCTGATATACGCGTGATTTATTGACTTAGTAGGCCTGATATAGATCACTCCTAATTGTATTTGCCTTGAAATATCTTGTGTGCATATAAATATGAACACATGACGGGATTTCAGCCTCAGAAAACATGTGAATTTAGTGGGGACTATTTTTAGTACGAGAAAATAAAAATTCACGAATGTATTGAATGGTTACACAATTATGTAAAAAGTGAGCTTTTAAATACGATCATCCTTAGTTTGCAAAATATCAAATATAGGACAGTGTTAATTTTAATATAGAGTATTTTTTTCGAAAAACGCAGTTCATAAATGACTTCAAACGAGAAAAATGTATAGGAATTTTCATGAGAAGCTATAGTAATAACATGACCTAAGGGAAGAATAGTGCACCGAAATACAACTGAACAATATTTCTCAACATAAACACAAAAATGATTGTCTTAACAATCAGACAAGTGAGCATGGAACAAATTACACAGTCCATTTTACTGGTGATGAACAAAGCAGGGCTGTTGGACTATTTATATGATTATATGAATCACTAAGAATTTTGATCCGAACAAATGAAACGACGCTGAATAAACTGGGCTTTTGGACAAGTTGTATTTTAATGTTCGCATAGTAAAATCGTGTTTCCAAACAGTCTGTAAACTGTAATGTCATTGTTTAAGTCAGAAGCAAGGCAGATATTCACCTATAAAGTTGAATGATGGTTGTATTGTACCATGAGCTAACATAATTTAAAACTGATGTAAAAGCAACATGCTTAACGTGAAATCTGAGCTTCAGCATTTCATTAGTGTCAGCCAGTCAGTCAGCTCAAACGTAGGACCAGGCACATATATGCATCGGTCCAGGTTGCCATACCTCATTAACACAGCAAGATGAACACCGGATTCATAGGAGTGGTTAGGTCAAAGGTGGTAATATATAGGAGAAAGATTGCATATAAGGATACAGTACAGGAAGAAAGAATTAGTTCGTAGAAAGAAAGATATGAAGTGATTTTAATCTCTTAGTTTAAGGGAAGACAGGGAGTGTATACACCTACGCCATTGTGATCGACTCTGAGCCATGTCACCAAGAGTCTCCAACGATTGGTTACGATAGTCACGCGGATACCAACCAAGTAGTCTGCATCTACCAACATGGCTCAGACTAGAGGTTAGTGTCTTCAAGCACTGATGCCACTTTTTGGTTTGGTCACCCCTAATTTTTTTCCATCCGTCTCCAACACTTGTCAGCATTGCTCGTCGTTGTAATCAGTGTTCAGGCATATGTAACACGTGGCCCAACAATCTCAGTCGATGAAGATTAACAACCTCATCAACTGATTTACCATCATTACCTAATACCTTGTGTCTAACCTCACTATTATTTACTCGGTGATCCCAGAAGATGAGAGCAATATTCCCAGGACATGTTTGACTGAATACTAGTAACGTACGAGTATCCCTTACCCTTAACGGTCACGTTTCGCAGCCGTAAAGTAGGACAGAACGAACTGTCGAGCAGTATACTCATTCTTTTATTGATAGATGGATATCTCGCCTTTGCCATAGGTGATGTAAGTTGACCAAAGCCGAACAAGCTTTTTGAATCCATGTAGAGATTTCGTCAGACAGCAACCCAGTAGGGCTAATCAGACTCCCAAGTTAGGTGTAATTGTCTACGCGCTCGACTACTTCACTCCTTATCCTTAGTTCAGGTGTTGACGTAAGCCAGTTCTGAAGTAACAATTTGTATTTAGAGGGGGAGAAACTGTAAGTTACAGTTATTTTAAATGAGAATCAGAAATACCACACTGATGCTCAAACTAATTTAATCAGTGAAATGAGTATTTACGCTGATGATTTTATGGAATAAGGATTGAAAACGTAAATCAATGTATCACAGGTTATCAAGAATAACAAAAATTCATACTCGCATAAAAATTGTATCAAGTAAACACTAATTTTAGACAGAAATTCACCTGGTAATGTCATGCAATAAAGTTGTTTCTCGTTTGCCATCTCTGGGAATATCTCTTTCTCAATGGAAGTTGGGCGTAGCTGAACAAATATAAGCAAGAATAGCTTATCAGTATTCGAGTTAAATTACACCATAAAAACAAAGTGTTTACACTTTGCACTGAACAACAAGTATCTAGCACAGTTAGATAAACATTGTTCGACAAAAAAAACTAGTGTTTGAGTGCCTATGTACTTCACAATATATGTTCACTGTTGTCGACTAGTGATATGCAACGTAGAGACTAGCACAAACGTGTATCGATCCAGGTTGCAACAGTATGAGGAAATCAGTAAGACAAGGAGAGAAGAAGGAAATATCAATTGTAGCGGTGATTTAAGCACGAGAGATACAATTATCCAATATCTTCAACAATTGACTACAGCTATTGTACGGGCTCCAATCAAGAGGTTTGTTATTAAGGACATAGAACAACCCAATAATCAGTTACCTTATATATTGACAGTCGTTCCCTGGCATTTTCTGTGAGCCATAACGCACCAGGATAAGTGGTAACTAGACATATGTTCCAACCACTTCAGTTTATACAGGCTTATCACCTTTATCAACCAAATAACTATTTCCCTTAAAACTCGGACCATAATCTCAGCCTTACTAATCTGCACGTTCCGAAACTCCCGAGTAATGCCGTTTATTATTTAATTATAGAATATATCAACGAATGCATTTACTGAATAACCTGAAATTGTTCCTTTTTACCGAATTTTATTTTTGGCAGAGTGGGATAAAGCAATTTCATTTTGTATTTTATGTCATAAAGGCAAACAGTCGTAGGTACCTTAGTTATATGAAAGCAGATGTAAATAATTGTCGATTAGCAACTCCATCTTAGTCTACTGAACACTAAACCAATAAACTGATATCTTTTGCTAATATTAACACAATACCCGGTACATATTTGTTTGGTTGGCTTGAGGTCCCACTCCAAGTGTAAGGACCAATAATAACAAACAGTTGTCAGAACTTAAGTTGTCAAAGGGGAGTTCCAACCCAACTTAGTGACTCGAAGTTGAACACCTTAACCACAGGGTTATCCTTCGAAGTACGGGTTTAAATATCTCAATAATAATAATAATAATAATAATAATAATAATAATAATAATAATAATAATAATAATAATAATAATGACCGTAAAAATGATTGAAACCAGACTAGATCGACAAACTAACAGATTTTTCTTACCAACGAATGATATATTCATGACAAAAAAAAACGAAATTTAAGGTAATAGTGAGTAATAATTATACAGAAAAATTTCTTACGGGGATCTTGTCAATAACACTAGGATTAAGTAAGTATATACCGGCATTTATCTTATTACCAACAAATTCAATTGGTTTTTCAACAAAACGATCCACACGTCCAGTTGTTTGATCGTAAACAACAACGCCATATTTTGAAGGTTCTTCAACTTGTGTTACCTAGTTGAAACCAAAAAAAAGTAGGAAACTCTAAATCGTTGGATAAATCACAGAAACTTTACAGTATGTATATGTTCAACATATATACACCATTTTTCAGAAATCAATGCGCGAAAGAAAATTTTATAAAGCATCATTAATGGGGTCGGCAATAACAATAAATAATAGATCGTCATTTAATCCTTTAATGAAACATATATCTACCGAATACGTGGTTATATACTCCACTTTGAACCGCATTTTACGAGTGAGGGACAGTTGTTATACCCGATTACTTCAACCAAATTAAATTTAAATAAGTACGACCTGGTAACCCATTAAATCAATGGATTATTGATTCACAAACTAAGTCACCGTTACACATTGTATATCAATGTAACTACAAGGATCGAATTAATAAACCTGTACTTTACAAGTAAGTTAACTTAACTTCCCTAGACTTCAAATTTGATTATGCCTGGACTGAATGAAATATTCTGTAGCATTTCCATAACTTTCAATTAGTCACGATGCAACTAAAATAAGGTATTATATCCATGTGAATGGTTAACGTACACAGTTAATCCTTAAAACATTAAGTCAAATAAATTGGAATAAACTGATTGTGTAAGTATAAATAAAGTTTTATCATACAAGTCAAACATACTTTAATAGTAGAACCATATGATACCATAACAAATTAGCACAGTGAGATGAAAGTAGCACGATGAATAACAAAGGAATAGAAATAATGTAGTGACAGTGATGACGACAAAGACAGAATATTGGAGATTAATTATAAATATATTTTTGTTATATCCCAATGAGTAGAAAAATTGTATTTCTGACGTTTCATGACTTAACGTAAGCCACTTCTTCAAAGTAAATAAATAACCGAATGAAACATGTGTTAATTTAATTCGGTTGTGCATTTACTCTGAAGAAGTGGCTTACACTAGGTCACGAAACGTCAGAGAACAATTTTTCAACGAATTAGGATATAACAAAAACATATTTGTTATTAACTATCTACCTAATGCTCAATTTATTTGAAACTATCAAGTCCAACCTTGGCAATGATACCTGTAAACTGAAGATTGTTTGAAAAGATGAAAAAGAGGGAGAATATCTATGGAGAAAGGCTGAAAATTAAAATCTAGGGTAAGAAAAAAGAGTGAATGAATTTGTGCCATTACGATAGACTCTCAGGGAAATTATTCAACGTCTCCAAACCCTGATCCTGATTTTTGTACAGATCCTATCTAGGTAGTATGTATTTACCTACTGACAATCCTCATTCCAACATCTACATTGAATCAGTATTCTAAACTCGAAATTTGAAGGGGATTTGAGAGATATGACTCATAACCTTCTGCGTAAACTCAGAATTTGTCTGAATATCGCTAGTAAATTAGGTTATGATTACCAGTAGTGAGTTTTTTTCACTTACAATCCACGACAAGAAAGTCATAATTATAGTCTGTACTTAATCCAGTTGATTATAAAACGAGTACAGTTTTAATATGCACATTAGTTTAACTGTTCAAAAATGCCCACCATATTATTGTTACTAACATCCACATATTTTTATTACTATTATTATCACTATAATTTATATTAATCTTCCGAATATATAAGAAACTTAGTTACCACTCTTCCTACTTAACTTTTTCTTGCTAAATTCACATCATCTCATGCAACACATAGTCCTTTCATCAAACATTTGATTCGATTGTTATTCTCAAAATTTCACTTAACGTATAAACTTAATCAAGTTAACATTGTACATTAGTCATTTACAGATAAACCTCAACAGCCTTCTGTGGGAGAGAACAAACCAACTTCCAGCTGAATAGGAAATTAGGAAAAAACAATGGAAATGGATAGGACATACATTACGCAAATCATCAAACTGCATCACGAGGCAAGTCCTAACTAGGAATCCTGAAGGGAAACGGAAAAGAGGAAGGCCAAAGAACACATTACGTCGGGAAATAGAAGCAGATATGAAAAGGATGAATAACAACTGGAAGGAGCAGGAAAGGATTGCCCAGGACTGGGTTGGATGGAGAACGCTGGTGAGCGGCCTATGCTCTTTCACAAGGAGTAAAAGGCGTTAGTAAGTAAGTAAGTAACAGATAAACCTGAATTTATATGCTACACTAGTAAACAATGTATTTGCTTTCAACTTGATCATTCTTTCAAAAGATGGCCCCTAAATACCCTGCCGCGGCCGTGAGTGGGGAGAGTCAACTCTCCCTCTCGAAATGCTCTCACATAGCCACACGTGTACAGCCACTGCCACGTAAGTTCTACTCACTGCATTCTCGCGGTATTACTATTGTCTACGAAATTGAGAAAACGAAAAGCGAATGTCCGGTGCTTTAACCGGATTGGTGAATATAGAGGATCCACCTGAGGGAGTCGGAAAACCATGATTCCGGACTAATGGTGCACATGGGCTCCAGGATCCTAAGGTAACAAATGCGTATGAACCTTTTGTTGGTCACCGGCTTCCATGGGACTGTGTTTTTTAACGTTGCTCTACTGCTTTGTGGACTAGACCTCTAGATTAAAGACTCAGGTAGTGACCCACTAAGGAAACCACCTGCTTCGGTTCAGGCAACCGGGAAGTATCCCAGTCCTCACATGAATCGAATAATGAGACGTGGCGCATACATATTTGGTGCTTCATTGTGCTATGTATGTGTTTAAATAAATAAATAAAAATTCGAATGATTAATCTTTATGTATAACTGTACAACGTGATGAGAAATTTATTGAAAACAGAAAATTCTTCATTTATTCAGATTATTATTAAAAAAACAACAATACCCTATTGTTATATCTCGATGAGAATAATGAATGGTAACTTTTGGGAACCATTTATGAACAAATGCTATACGTATATTTCTATCGTATAATTGTTAAGTAACTAAACTATTCATATTCGTGTGCCTCTCATTATGAGCTTTATTTTGACCTGTGAACTGTAATTATACAATTTACCATTCTTGAATTATGCCCTGTCTATTAATCACTACCTCCCATATTCACAGCCACTTTTGGCTAAATCTTGTGCAAATCTTGTTTCCTGTTTTACGGTACAATGTGGTCTGTTTAGTTTGTATATAAGCCCGGTATGTTTGAAATAAATGATTAGTATCGCAGAGGCTGAGATTGGTGTTCTGGACTTAACAGGTGAGGGTAGGAAGGAAGCAGGACCGATAAAGACTCTAGACTCCTCATCCTTGTTTTATGCGTCATTGATCAGGTCGATAATTCACTGTTCTCATATTGGCGGTATCATCACGTTATACATTAATAGGGCACATAGGCCACAAGTTATAACACCTATATTGTAAGAAATGTCATATTCTTCTATTATAATAAAGTGTCCATAGGCTATTTACTAATTTTTAGCGAATATATTAATTTTATATTCGTTTTAATTTAAACACATAACCAAAAAGATCCGCAAAAAAAACAATACTGTGAACAGATTTTTAACAATATTTACAAAGTTTTTGATGGTCTACATTTTTATAGATTGGAAGCATTGTTATTGAATTATGACACCGTCAATTGTACATAAATTAAGTAAACTACTTATAAGACAAAAAATATATACACGTATTTTCTGATGAAACTTATAGAGCAAAATATAGTACACAAGGAATACTTGAAAGTTAAAATGCTAAGTATGCTCTACAGCGTACATGTCAGGATATACATAGCACTATTACTCAAATGTTCCTGTTCACAATTAACTTCTTGATTCCTGTGATATGACAGGGGAAGAATTAGTTCTGACAGTCAAGCATTAATTCTATTTGAAAGTAAATGACTTATGGTTGCCTTATTTGTTAAATCACTTCTAATCATGTTTATTCTTGTGTTCAGTATTTTATGATGCAACAAAGTTATTTTGTTGGAAGAAAACCCTATTCTACTAGGAAGCTCTCTTACCTTTGGATATGAACTCCACTGAGTGCTTACATTAATAATTAGATTTCGCGAGCGTCAATCACTCGGCCACATCATGTTATTACATTTTATCTATCGATCATTATTTTTATTTTAACAATCGAGGATTCACGTGTCAAATTATATAGTTCTACCCCATAACAGACTGTCGACTTGAGTTTCAGTATTACGCCCTTGATTTTAAACTAGAAATATGTTACGAAATCTAAGCAACTATTTGAAAAACTCAGCACCGAGAAATATTCATTTGTTTAGAAAATAAAGTAGCGAATGCATTTACATGAGGGGGAATTTATTCAGTAAACTAACCAAAATAGTTCCCGATTTTCCGTGATTTTTATGAAATGCTATGATTGCCTTGAACGGGAAATCACACATGATATCACTGTTGAGCACAAAAAATGGACTATCGTCCACGAGGAGCATATCTTTAGCTAAGGCGATTGGACCAGCTGAAAAGCAGTAAATATATTACAAATGTTTTAGCGCATTTTAAATGTGGTTAATGATGGAATCCATGACGCATAAATTTTAGTTTATTTGCGACTCACTTGATATCTGTATCCCAGTGTCGGATTTTGTACTTATACTGGACAACAACCAACAAAAAGTGAACAGAATTCAATCCTGTATAGCGACAATGTGATCATAGAAACCCTTACAAATCGGTATTAGGCATGTGAATAAGAAGACTCTACTCACTTATCGTTAAAAATATTATTAGGGGTATGGTTTACTGAAACTATACTACCAGCAGCCTAACCTTTTAAATCCCATATCTTATTGAACAACAGATATTATTAATTATGCCTCTAGTTTTATTCTGATTCATTGATGTATACTGCATTCCAGAAACCTGTATAGACGACTAACGCATGACTAATCGGTTATTTTACTGTCTATATTATTTTCTTACATCGTGTTTAGAAACTTCGCGTATGTAGTTACTAGGCTCTTTCAAAGAAGAAATTCCATTATTTAACCACGTTCTGGTATATTATGGTGCCACATTTGAGCGAAAAAATATCACAAAACTTATCCTGTCGCCAACTGAAACCATTATTCAGCCAAATGCTGACTCCAGGTCTAAGAACACAAAGCATAAGCTTGACTTCGGATCTTCCCTAAAAAGTCAAACAAGCATATGCATCTTTTGCACACAAAATGCGTTCAATAATATAGAGAAATTGGAGAAAATAGCAAAGAGCTCTTGAAATATTTAACAGGATTTCTGCCCATTAAATAAACATTGATGATTATCTTTAAAACGTTTGCCTGTGTAACGATTTAAGCTTAGCAACGTCAAGGTCAAACAAGTAGTCAAGAAATATTTGGTTTGATTACTCATAACATTAGCAAAAGAAAAAGTAAATAATTGACTATACCATCAGCTGACGTTAAAAGAAAACGGTGAAATGAGAATTTTTTGGCACCTATCTCTGCATTATAATCAGGTCATCAAGCAGAGTGATTCAAATTCCTAGTTAAACTACTTAAGGCATTTAGATCAACGCGAACAACAATTAACATTAACAATATTTAGTGTTAAGATTAAATGTGCAAAAGAACTATGGAATCGCGTAAATATTCACACAAAGGTATTCAATTTATCAAGTAACAAATGATGCTTTTCTGTTAAGGCTGAGGAATTTCAAGTTAATAAAGTGAGACTTACCAGTTCCCATTGCTTCAGTTTCATAGGAGAATGTAATTTTAGTTCCAATCTAGAGTCACGGGACAAAAAAACACACTAGTAATAATAATAATAATAATACTTGTATTGACTTAAGACTGGAAACTGTAACCAACTTTACACAATGTAACAAATTCATTCGTTAAGAGTGTAAAATGGATCTGTGACATTTTAAGTATACATAAGTTGAAGATGTTTTATATCATAACCTGATTTGAGTTAACTTATAGTAGTATTGCTAGGTTTGCATATCCAACCTTGATTTACTACTTTAGTCTGGCCAATCGAGCAGTACCATACTAGCTCTCATATGAAAAATGTGACCCAAATCTAAGCAAATAAACCTATCCTTGATTATTAAGATACTTTAATTGTATTATATATTTTTTATTTTAAACATTGGGTCGTAGGTTTACAGTATGGTTTACATGGATTTTAGAGTACAACCTTCATACAATACGGCGAAATCAAAACTTCAGTCACAATCTTGCATGAGTCATATACTTTCATCAGATATAGTCGTCAGTAGCTATTTCAACCAGTAAAAAGTATGTGAGAATAACCTTAACATTACACAGTACATTGTCATCTGAATTAAACCAATAAATTAGTTATTTGTATAATGCGTAATAAAGTCGACCTAACAGAAATACTATTGTCATAGCTCACTATCAAAAATTCATGATAAATTATCTTACTTTCTTCTCATGCTTTTTTAACTCATTTTCTAAGATATCACTTCGATCAGCACATTTGCTAACAGCTAAGATCACCTCTGATACTCCAACCTACAGAAAATTAGGAAAAGGAGAATTACAATGGGGTACAAATATATTAATAAACGATACCAATGAACATATGAAGTACTAATACACAAACAACTTCATACATACGATAAACATGGAATGGGTCTAGTATCGCTGTATTTTTGTGGGGAAAACTAATCTTATATTTCATAAGAGATATTCTTTTAAAGTATGAACTAGCTGATGAATCGAATCAACTATCTGTAGGTAAATGGAGACGTGAATTCATATTCTAGAGAGTTCTATTACTTAGTGTTATATAATAACTATTTCTTAAGAACGATTACTTAGCCTGCATGCTAGGGAGACAGGCAAATGGAAACGAAAAATAAAGATGAGTTGGTCCATTTTTCACAACTGATTACTATCAAACTATAAGGAGAGCGACAAATTGATCACCAAGTTTAATGTATTCGGCTAGGTTACATACTTATACACGGGGAAGTATCTGCTTAACTTTAATTTACCAGAAGTTGAAATCCAGTTAAATAATTGGACACCACGAAAATGACTGCAAGACATAAAAAAGCGATCGCCGATGCTTGGATAGTAGCTGAATGAACGAACATTAACTTGCCCCTGAAAATCTATATTTTTAAGTACTGTGCATAACTTTATGGCTCATAAGTTATAATTACATGTAGTCTACTGTACATAGTTCCAGATTGGAAAAAGCATACTCATGTACCTCAACGCTGCCAGTTATTTATCCATAAACTCGGGGGAGAATATAGAAAAGCCGACAATAAAGATAATCCTCAAAATTAAGAATTCAGCTTCAAGCAACAATCGACGCTTACACAATTTCTTTTTGGAAAGTAGATAAATTTCAGTTGCTGAAACTGTCTAACATAAGAATACATCGACAATTCTCATGAGGTGTTCGTATGTTTCTCTTAAATTAGTCCCGACCGTTGCTGCTACCTCGACGTGTTGGTCGGGCTTGCTTATCGTAGTGAACCAATCAAGCTATACTGGTTGGAACAATTGTTCCTCAAGGTCCTACAATGCCGGATAGGTTGGTTGAAGAGCGGTAAGACTAAAAGCAGCAGGGGTGTGACAGCAGTAAGGTGTTCCCTCCAGATAGACAGCACAACAGCGATTCCGTCTTCCCATAAGGAACGGTGGGGTTAGAAAAGGTTGAACCTAAAGATATACACCTCGCCTTATCCCACAATTTCAGTCTCCGGCGGTAGGGTCCCAAAAAGTACGGAGCTAACAAGAAAAATACTCAGAAAAAAATCGTGGGTGATCAGACTAAATCAGTTGTCCCTTGGGCACTGCGGTCACGCCCTCGGGTCACTAAGACTACCTCTAACCCTATTTCCTTTTCAGGTACTGCTATAGGAACCCTTTCATGGCGTGGGCAACCGGGATGTAATAATCATCCTCATACCTTTAATAACACTCAAGACAACTGTATTCACGATCGACTTCCTCCGTCAATTTCTATTATTACCCCTACCTCGACTTTCAACTCTAAACTTCCTCAAGTGTCACCATGGGCAACGATTCTAACGAGCAAAATAATTTCCAGAATCTACTGAAACCTCACTCGAAACTACACATTGCAGCATTCAACGTACGCACCCTGTGTCAAATCGGCCAGTAGGCCTCCTTGACTAAAACCCTAGAATCTCGTACGATTGCTGTATACTGTCTCCGAAACACGCATACAGGAACTTAGTGTGGTCATTCACTTGACCTCACCTCGCCAAAACGGAGAGTCGATGAGATACACCCTCAGTGTATCTGACGACCCGGTGGCTAGTTCTCGTGAACTAATGGGTGTAGGCATAGCACTAAATACGAAGGCAGAACGAGCACTATTAGAGTGGATCCCCGTTAACAGTCGTCTATGTGCTGTTCGGCTAAACGGCTCCGTAAGAACTCAGAAGGATAGAGACACACGTCGTTGCCTTTTCATCGTCTCTGCCTACGCTCCCATCGACTACAGCCGGAATGAAGTGGAAGATAACTTTTAAAGAAAGCTTTTCGAACTTTTCAAGAAGCTAAACGTTCAAACATAGTACGCGTAGCCGGCGACTTTAATGTCCAAATAGGTAGCTTAAACCAAGCATAAAGACATTTAGGCGGTCATTTTAGTATTCCGGCTCAGCGAACGGATAATGGTAACTGTCTGCCCCAACTGTGCCCAGATAATCGTTTATTTTTAGCAGACATTTTAAGCATAAGGATAGACATCGTATAACATGGTGACTCGCTGCACCAAACCAACGATGGACTCAAATAGACCATATTCCTATCAGTCATAGTTGGAGAGGGTCGATAGAAGACTGTCGCTCGTTCTGGAGTACATGTTTAGACTTCGATCATGCTCTAATACAAGCACGCATTTGCTTGCGCCTCACTGGATGTAGAAAAGCCATATTAAGACCCACTAGAATTGAACTGAGTGATGAGAAAGTCGATTCCAGGAACAACTGAGGTCACACTTAAGCAGTTCTGAAAACGAGGTTGATCCAGACGTTGCTTGGAAAGAAATGCAAACAGCAGTGATATCTATTGATGGTTTGGACCAAAGAGTCAAGAAAAACCAGAGGATTTCTACTAAGTCTATTGCACTGATAGATCCTCGTAAACTCACCCCATCTGACTCTGAACACGATAAAGAGCGAAAGCGAATCAAATCTAGGTTAACCAAATGTCTAAAGAACGACCATGAGCAGTGGTGGGCAACGAAGACAAAAGAGATGGAAAAGGCAGTGGCTGTAGGTAACCCAAGACAGCTTTCCAGACTAATAAAAGAAACCGGAACTAAGAAGTCAAGTGTAAGTGAAACGATCTTGGAAAAAGACGACAATCTTATCTGCTCTCAGCCCAGACGTTTAGAACGATGAGCAATTCAGATGGCCCTCAGCTATTTTACAACTACCCACCATTTCTAATCAACCTGAATGAAATATTAAAGTAGCCCCCCCTCCCGACTCTGAAATTCAAAAGGCCATAGCTAATCGGAAACGAGGAAGAGCAGCTGGTCCAGATGCGTTGGTTCCAGGGGTCTTTAAGTATGGTGGTCCAGTTTTAGTGATTAGGTTGACTAATATTTTAGCTAAAATCTGGGAGTTAGACGTTATTCCATCTGACTGGTCACAATCACTGATTGTCCCAATATATAAGAAGGGGTCAAAACCATCCTGTGATAACCATAGACGGATTAGTTTGACTAACATAGCATCTAAAATACTAGCCTCAACAATTATCGAACGCCTAACAAGGACTCATGAATTGCAAACACGAGAAAATCAGGCTGGCTTCAGACCTGGTTGTGGCTGCATCGACCACATATTCACCACTCGTCTGATTTTAGAACACAGGCATGCTTATCGGTGTCTGACAATGATAGTTTTTCATGACTTGAAGGGGTTTGTGGCGGTGTCATTGAAAGTCTTACCTCAGAAGTACATAAACCGTATGAAGGCTCTGCTCTCACACTACCAGTCGGGTATGAGCTTATGCTCAAAATCGATCACTATGGCGTCAGTGTATACACTCTTTGTCTTCCCTTAAACAGTGAGATTAAAATCACTTCATATCTTTCTACGAACTAATTCTTTCTTTCAATGGTTGAGATCACGAGTGAATTGAAGCTAGACCACCATGGAAAACCTGAAAGCACGACGACCGTTTCGTCCTATTGTCGGACTCCTCAGCAGTGTGCTTCAATTCACTCATGATCTCAACCATTGAAATTACTATAATACCCACAAAAACCCATCTCTAGTTACAATCATCACATGCTCAGTAGTGAAGGTCTCCAAGAGGTATTTCCTGGAGTCCTAGTGAGAAGCAGTGATCAGTGGAGTTCAACAAGGTCTGTTGTGAGATAGTAACTCACTGATGACAATGGTGGATACGTCGCTTAATTTCGTGGGTTAGTTGAAGTTAGACATTAACACCGTTGGATGCCATCGGACTTAGTGGTCTTATGGTTAAGCGCTCGCGCGCGAGACTGGTAAGTCTTGGGTTCGAAACCCGCGAGGCGGGATCGTAGATGCACACTGCCGAGGAGTCCGACAATAGGACGAAACGGTCGTCGTGCTTCCAGGTTTTCCATGGTGGTCTAACTTCAATTCACTCATGTTCTCAACAATTAAAATTACTATAATACCCACAAAAACACTTCTCTGATTATAATTCTTTCTTCCTGTACTATATCCTTATATGCAATCTTTTTATAAATTAACACCACTGAATTAACTACTTCTATGAATTCGGTGTTCATCTTGTTGTGTTAATGATGTATGGCAACTCAGGCCGATGCACATATGTGCCTAGTCCTACGTTGTAGCTGACTGACTGACAACTTAGTAGAATCTTTCCCAATTCTAACAGAAAAACTGCTCACCAGTGACCGACTTAGAAAATTGTAGTGAGAAGTCATGATATTTGCACAAACTGATTTGTGCTAGAAATGTGTACTACTGGATTCCGAATCATTGACGTAAAAAGAAGCTGTGCTCTGCAATATTTAGCTCATCAGAATTCATATCAGGAATCCGCCTGTAGATCCTCTAGAGTTACTGCCGGTCCCAAGCCCGGGTTCGGAGAGAGGGTTGGGCATGGGGTCAGCGACCCAATCCCGTAAAAAACTAACTCTCTGGAAAACGCTAATCATGAAAAACAATTCAAACCATTTAAACTCTGCCCTGAGAATTATAAGGTCTTCATTCAGAAGAACTGTGACACATGGTGAAAGCTGAGTTCCTTCGGGAGCCACGAAGCCGATGACCGTTATAACAACCAGAGCAACAATTTTTATAGGTATGTGAAACCTTCGGACAATGTGAGAGACCTGGAAGACCAGCCAAATAACAACGGAAATGAGGAGATACAACTTGACGGTACTTGGAATCAGAGAAACCTATTGGACCAAAGCTGGACAAAAAAGGCTAAATACGGGAGAGATGCTGCTAAACTCCGGCCACGAAGAGGAAAATGCTCTACACACTCAGGGAGTTGCTCTAATGCTGTCCAAAGTAGCACGAAATGCACTTGTAAGATGGAAATCTCACGGATCCAGAATCATCAAAGCATCATTCAAAACAGAGGAGGAAATCACAATGAATGTTACAAAATGTTATGCACCCACCAATGATAGCAACAACGACATTAAAGATCAATTCTATGAGAGGCTGCAATCAATCATAGAGCAGTGCCCAAGAAAGGACCTCACTATTCTGATGGGAGATCTAAACGCCAAAGTCGGAATAGACAACACCAGATATGAAGATATCATGGGACGACATGTACTGGGAGAGAGAAACAAAAATGGTGAGAGATTTGCAAATCTATGTACATTCAACAAATTGGTCATAGGCGGAACAGTATTTCCACACAAGCGTATACACAAAGCTGCATAGATCTCACCGAACCACACCACAGAGAACCAGATAGATCATATTTGCATCAATAAAGTTCCGAAGGACAATGGAAGATGTGAGAACCAGGAGAGGAGCTGACATAGCTTCAGATCACCACCTAGTTGTGGCCAATTTAAAACTGAAGCTAAAGAAGAACTGGACAACTGGACAAACAGCATTACAAAGGTTCAATACAGCCTTCCCTCGAGATACCAACAAAATCAACGAATTCAAGATAGCTCTCAACAACAGGTTCCAAGCCTTACAGGATCTACTGAAGGAAGAAGAAACTACTATGGAGGACAACTGAGAAGGTATCAAAGAAGCATTAACCTCAACGTGTCAAGAGGTTCTGGGCCTCAAGAAGCATCATCCGAATTGACTACAATTAAGTGATGCACAAACACAGGCTTCCTAATCATTCAATTTAGTATTTATCATTATGGGCCAAATTCATTGTTTAAGCAGTAACAGAGTTCTAAAAACTCACAAAAATTAATTTCAAAAATGACAAAATCAATAAGTCATATATTTTGAAAACAAATTTCCCAACTTATACCCATGATAAAACACAATCTTACTTTGGCAAGGGCTTCAATTTGATGTAGTAAAAGGGGTTTGTTGCAGAATTCTACTATCGGTTTGGGATAAGTTAGTGTTAAAGGCCGGAGTCGAGTGCCATAACCCCCAACTAAAATAAGTGCTTTCATATTGTTTTATCAGTTGACCTTTTACAATAGAAAAATAAGCATGACTCGTTATTTACTGAAGAAAAATTAACTGTCTGCTTATCCAATTTTTTATGTGAGAAATATCTCGTTTCTTAAAATGAGATAGAACAGAAGCAACTCTAGGTTTGTGATTAGACTTACTACGTTGCGATAGTTACATCCCAGGGCGGAAGATTGCAGCGTGTGTTTCTGTTCCCCAAATAAATAAACGGAATAGGGGTTGAAATCATTGACTAGCGTCTACATGACAAAAATACCCTAATTTTAGGCATAACAATTCCATGAAACATTGAGGTGGATCGATGTACTGTATGGTTTGGCCCGTTGGATTTAGGATATGAAACAAAACAAGTTGCATTGATGAGTTAAGTGTTATAGGGAATTAGATGCACATTAAGCAGTTTATATGAAGTGTAGATACGTAAAAATCGAACAGTGAAGGGATATTTTTGATCGATCAGTGAGAATTATATCAGGTAGACACTAGCTTATCAGTTGAAGCGTGGTCTGTATTTAAAGGTAAGTTTAGTTTAGTTACGTCCTCGCTCATAACATACCTGGTACCGCGAAGACCGAATAACAGTCCACCATGGATAACTAAAACGGTCAGGAAACTCCTTAGAAAAAGGAAGAATCACTGGAATATGTTCATCTCTACTGGCTAAGAACAATACAGATCCAGTTATTGTAAGATTAAGAATGTCTGTAAAGCGTTAATAAGTAAGAATAGATCATATGAAAAACAATTGGTTAGGGATTCTAGATATAGCCCGAAACGGTTATTCTCGTATATAAAAAGGCGAACTCAGAGAAGCGATGGAATCCCATCACTTTTGATACAAGAATATCCGTTAATCTTGGCAAGAAATGATACCGAAAAAGCTGAAGCTTTATCGGAATATTTCAGTAGTGTTTTCTATCAGTAATGAAGAACGACCAACGATTCATTGTGATGGTGGTAGCTCGCTGATGAACCCTGTGGTGATTGAGAAAGGTACTGTCTTAAGGCTAATTCAGCATCTCAAACCTGATAAGTCCAGTGGTCCTGATGATATTCATCCTAGGATTATGAAAGCCATATCAGATGTGATTGCTGAACCATTAGCGATACTGTTTGACATGTCCCTGAGGCAGTCCAGACTGTCCAGAGACTGGGAAGATGCGATAATAAGTCCGGTGCATAAGGCTGAGAGTAGGGATTTAGTTAGTAACTATAGACCCGTTAGCTTAACTAGTGCGGTTGTAAAGCTGATGGAAAAAATCATTCGGATATCTGTTATAAACTATGTTGAAGGGCATAATCTTTTCTCCAGGGAACAACATGGTTTTCGGAGAGGCCTATCATGCTTGACAAACCTCATTGCAAGAGAAGATTGGGCTGCGGCAAAAGATCGGAATATTCCTGTGGATGTGATTTTCATAGATTTAAGTAAAGCCTTTGATAAGGTCTCCCATTCTGATCTTAAATCCAGACTAGAACGTTTTGGAATCCGTTATACAGTCGTAGATTGTATAAGTAACTTTCTCCATGACAGGAGACAAAGGGTAAGGACTAATGGAGCTCTCTCCTAGTGGGTACCCGTAAAAAGTGGAGTTCCCCAAGGCACAATCCTAGGTCCTCTTCTCTTTATACTTTATGCAAATGAATTAACAGCTGTAGCACAATCATCCGTTCTACTCTTCACTGATGACAAAAATTTGAAGAATCATGCACAGTATGTCGGATAGAATAGTATTACAGGATAATCTTAGCTCATTGGTGGCATGGTTGGACAGGTGGTCACTAGAGGCAAATCCTGATAAGAGTGTGGTGATGCAATTAAATAACTATAATCAATAGTATTACCATACAATATGCGGATTCGTGCTACCCAAAGTAAGAAACTATAGATTTAGGAGTCATATTAAGCAGTGATCTCAAAACGATTAGTCACTGCAAGGCTGCCGCTGCGAAAGGGTATTACGGTATATTCGTAGGTTTTTCCAGTATTTAGATGACGAAATGTTTAAATTATTATACCCGACCACATTTAGAGTATGGGATTCAAGCAGCGAGTCCTTGTTCTAAGTACGAAGCAGATATGCCGGAAAGAGTCCAAAGACGAGATACTAAGATGGTAAAAGGTCTATCTGGCCTATCTTATAAAGACAGACTGAGATACCTTAACTTATTTCCGTTATTTTACCGTAGAATATGGGGTGACTTAATATTGGCTTATCGTATACTGAACGATGACCTTGGTATTAACATGTCTTATCTTTTACTTCCGTCTAGGGCTGATCATTTGAGAAGACATTCGAAGAAATTTCAAAAACCGAGATCGAATCGTTTACGTCTGGAGTTTCGTTTCTCGCAACGAGTAGTAAATTACTGGAATTCTCTACCAAGACACGTAATACCAGCACATTTTTTTGATATATTCAAAACGAGATTGAACCTCCACAGTATTATAAACTGCAAGGATTAATATAAGTCGACAGACCTACCCTTATTACTGGGGATTGAAGGTAAACGTGGAATGGCATAGTTGTCTGAATATATTCTAAAGTATTATAAAGGCAATATAGTTTTATATCTTTTATGGACTATATATATATATATACGCGTGTACAGGGGTTGCTGACATGAGATTTAGCCAAATAGGGGGAAAAAGACCAGGTATTCTGCATTTTCCATGGGTGTACTTCAGAAAACTGTAACTGTCGTTGCTAATGAGATGATCTACTTACTAATATACCTGGGAAGCAATACAAAAACAGGAAACTGATAATAATGACACATAAAAAGATACAGAAATGCTCGAAAGACGATAGACATCTATTATTGAAAATACGAAGCAAACCAACCCCGAACAAGGCGGCGGCCAGCAGAGCATTAAAACCGATACAGTTAAACGAATGTACTATATAATTTCACAAATAGCGGTTTAGGTACGAAACGTGAATTTCAGCTGAGAAGAGAATGGAATAAATCCTGTCGTGTTGGAAGACTGACATGATTTCGGCGTTTCTTGTTCTAATCCAATATGTGGGAGGATTGATAAAGCATATTGTTTTGTAACTAGTTTTTGGACGTAATAACCTTACCATTATTTTTTAGAATTTACATTTTCTTGTTTTACCACAAGTGCATTAGAATTTACTAAAGATATAAGTCTTGGTTCCAAGTCTTGCTTTGATAATAAGCTTACAAATTCTGAATTTTATCTAATTATTATAACCACTTATGTTTATGTGAATGAGTTTTCTGTGAAATACATAATTTGAGTTTTCGTGTCCTAACACGCTGAACATAATGACCAGACTTTCCTGAATCCTCGAAGTTGTACGAAGAATAATCATTCAAATTTACATATAGTGATGCATAGCAAAAATGCATCTTGAAGTATGATCAATGTGTGGCTCATATAAATTCCGAGAATAAACATTTAATTTGTCACTCTGAAGATAAGTAATCCTCAATAGATGAGATGAGCATCCGTGGACAGTTTCAAGTATTTATGGGTGGAATGTTAGTGGCATTCACTTATTGAACATATATTTTAAAGTAAATGATCACAAATTCTTACAGGTACAGACCTAGGTACAAAAAGCATGTGGAAATGAGAGAACCATTAGCGGATTCTTAAGAATCCATCAATTTGCTTCTTGAAGGGCTACAAGGAAGTTACTTGGACCAGTTCAACTAGTGATGAATTCCTATACATCATTTATAAGGAGTGGTTGTTGTATCTACAGTCACATCCGGTATTACACCTCCTATTTCTAGGTATTATCTCTAAATTTAGTATTGAAAATGAAATTTAATGTGTTTTAGGTTATGCACAGGGGTATTAAGGACGTTCTAAACCATGGATTGAGTCCCAGTTGCTTAAGACGTCGTTCACAAAGCTTGTATGTTAGCGGAAATATCAGTTCTGAACCACGCTATTCTTGAGGTTAATCTCCCAAAAAATGAGAAGACATACTAAACGCTATAACTTGGTGAAGGTAAGGGAACGTGTGGACGGAGATATTTAACAGAAACGACATGACTCGTCCATACAAGTACAGTTACTCAATGCAATATTTTGCTTTTCACGTTGAGTATAGTACTCAATCCTTTGCATATGTATGGTCCTAAAGAGTTCATATTGACTTCCACTATAGGATGAGTCAATCTAGACTATAATGTGACTTCGACGTGAGACCATCCTCAACGTTGGATTAAGTCGACCACTCTCTTAGCATAAATAAGTGCCGATCTAAACCTAAATTTTACAAGTACGTTAACTGATTTACTGACTGGCATTTGCATATCTCTCAGAGTATTGTCGTCCTTCAGGAACAAAGAAAACACTCTGTAATAGCATCGTATTAAACTATGCTGACACTTTGGTCACGGTATATTTTTATTGTCTATGCACGTCATGAACGACTTATAACATTCCGACTCACTTCATCCAATTATAAGTTCGCTTGTTTTCATTTACGAGTACAATCTATACTTAATGATTATACCACTCTCTGAATTCCTGTAATTTTGAATATTGTAACCATATTCCGTCGCTTCATTTCTAAGGCGATACTATTTATAATCGCATTAAACTCGAAGTCAGGTGTACGTGAAAGGACTAACAACTTCGTCTCTGTGTTGTAAATGAATTTAACGCCAAAAACAGACGTCGCCTGGATTCTGTTGGGCCTGCTTTGAAGGTTAGAAACCCTTCTCTCATGTAGATCAATTCAAAAAATAATGGTTGAGTCAGGCACTGCTGTAATCACATAGATTGAAATTATGAATCATACAAAATGACTTAAAAATAACACGAAAGAGCATACAGCATGTAAACCATTTCAAAAAAGTCAGATACAGTGAAATCCGAAATGCACTATGTTTTAAATCGCTGAGGTTCAAAATATATCCACTTATAAAAAAACAGGCAAGGTCTTTCTAATCAAAGAACGTCCGTAGTGAATATATGAGTCAACCAACTTAGAAGGCAGGTGATCGAAACCCCAGATAGCTTTACTGCTAGACAAGAAACGCGATTTATGTTGTTAGAGGTAGTCAAACATTCAGCCAAACAGTTATAACCAAAAACTCAGTTACTCATTATGGCACTCACCGAACTTCAATAATCGAATAAAATATGACTACAAGAGACAGTGGAAAACTATATAATATCGAGAAAAACTGCGGTGCTAAATAGGATGAGTGATACTAATCTACGGACGAAAAGAGGAACCTAATGTTCCAGTTAAGGCAACACAAACAAAAATCTTACATTTTAAAAGGTTAACAATTAAGTAAAACGTCCTACTATCAAACCAACCAGAAATACGTGCAGGGTTCTCTCTAGAGACATTTTGTTGAGTTTGGCATAAGATTTAAGATCACAGAGCACCAAAAAACCTGTGTTTTCTCTTAACTGAGGCACGTTAAGAATTTGAAGTGTCTGCTAATCACTGTGGTTTCAAACTTCCGTCAAAGGCTTACCGTTATCAGTAAGAGATAAGGTCACAGAGAAATTTTAAGTTGTGAAACCCTACTGGTAAGTTTCGTGGCTTGAAGAAGTAAGAAATTTAGTTGCGCCGTAGAAAGTCCATTATTTAGTTATGACTTAAGCCAGCAAATCGGAGCTGACAAACTGGCTCCAAGTCCACCGTACCCGTGCACCCAACATTAGTGGTCCATCCATCAACGGCAGTCCCAAGGTTCATGATACTGCTAATATAGTGGGAAAAAATGAACAATGGGTAGTTGCGTGGGTCACCACAAATTAGAGACCTTGTAGAGCCTAGTCGTATTGGAAATGATATGATTAGCCGGTATCTTAAAGGATTATTCTACTGACACCATCTGCAGATTGGGGAGATAGATGTATATCTACCTCCAAGTGTTTAGAACCTTATCTTATTCTCGGAACTGTGAGAAAAAAACTTAGATATGACATCAAGAATAAGGACGCTTTCCTTAGCACAGCCTGGCGATCACTGTACAAATTTCGGAATGTGTACTTTCTTAGGTGATGTGATGCATGCAGTTCAAGTATGTTTTTGAACAATTACATTTTGGTTTACGCTATAAATTTTCCTCATTTAATTCACCTTGTGTTGACAGACATAAATAACACACCATATATACTCCTATGCAAAAAGAATATCTCGAAGTAGATTGTCCATTAACTTTTCAACTGTTTTTTCCGCGTGCTTTGGGCCGAATGTCATGCGTACAAGCTCAAACAATTCAAAGAGTGTAGTAATAGCTGCCTTAGGGATATCCTCTTTAGCTATGGAGATACTGTAAAATGCCCTAACTACATCAATTTTAGTAAGTATGCTTGTAGCTTGTAAGTCGTTTGTAAAATCATGAATACGAGGCATAAGGTAGCTATCTGATACTGTTTGACGGTTGAGAGATCTGTAATTTCCAAACAACCGCCTGTCGCCTTCAATTTTTTTCGGACTATGTGAAGAGAGGATGCCCACTGATTATCAAACGGACGGATAATACTCAGCTGTAGAAACAATTTTTATAGGTATGTGAAACCTTCGGACAATGTGAGAGACCTGGAAGACCAGCCAAATAACAACGGAAATGAGGAGATACAACTTGACGGTACTTGGAATCAGAGAAACCTATTGGACCAAAGCTGGACAAAAAAGGCTAAATACGGGAGAGATGCTGCTAAACTCCGGCCACGAAGAGGAAAATGCTCTACACACTCAGGGAGTTGCTCTAATGCTGTCCAAAGTAGCACGAAATGCACTTGTAAGATGGAAATCTCACGGATCCAGAATCATCAAAGCATCATTCAAAACAGAGGAGGAAATCACAATGAATGTTACAAAATGTTATGCACCCACCAATGATAGCAACAACGACATTAAAGATCAATTCTATGAGAGGCTGCAATCAATCATAGAGCAGTGCCCAAGAAAGGACCTCACTATTCTGATGGGAGATCTAAACGCCAAAGTCGGAATAGACAACACCAGATATGAAGATATCATGGGACGACATGTACTGGGAGAGAGAAACAAAAATGGTGAGAGATTTGCAAATCTATGTACATTCAACAAATTGGTCATAGGCGGAACAGTATTTCCACACAAGCGTATACACAAAGCTGCATAGATCTCACCGAACCACACCACAGAGAACCAGATAGATCATATTTGCATCAATAAAGTTCCGAAGGACAATGGAAGATGTGAGAACCAGGAGAGGAGCTGACATAGCTTCAGATCACCACCTAGTTGTGGCCAATTTAAAACTGAAGCTAAAGAAGAACTGGACAACTGGACAAACAGCATTACAAAGGTTCAATACAGCCTTCCCTCGAGATACCAACAAAATCAACGAATTCAAGATAGCTCTCAACAACAGGTTCCAAGCCTTACAGGATCTACTGAAGGAAGAAGAAACTACTATGGAGGACAACTGAGAAGGTATCAAAGAAGCATTAACCTCAACGTGTCAAGAGGTTCTGGGCCTCAAGAAGCATCATCATAAGAAATGGATCACTGTAGGAACACTTGACAGGATCAAAGAAAGAAAGAACGAGAAGATAGCAATTAACAACGGCTGAACACGAGCAGAGAAAGGATCAAATGTGTAGAGCACTTCGAGGAACTCCTGAATAGGCCGGCTCCAATGAATCCATCGGACATCGAAGCAGCACACACAGATCTTCCTATAGATGTCAATCCACCAACGAGGGAAGAAATCAGAATGGCTATCAGACAATTCAAGAACGGGAAAGCAGCAGGACCCAACAATATACCGGCTGAAGCACTGAAGTCAGACATCGAAGTAACCACAAACATGCTTCACCTTCTATTCAAAAAGATTTAAAAGGAGGGACAAGTGCCGATGGACTGGA